GGGATTCCCACTACCAGCAGTCTGAATGGGAACTAAGGAGATTAACAGTGAGCGTCCGATGAGAATCTTGTTTTTAGAAATGTTTTTTTTTTTTTAAAAAAACCTTATTTATTTGAAAAAAAATGTTTTTCAGAAAACTTCTAGTAACTTTTGAAAGGTTGTAAAGTTTTAATGAAAATTTAGCTCTCTTTCATTATAAAGGACTGGAGCCCATAATGTAGTACTGTTTGAAGATTGATTACCCTTAAAAAACCTAAGATTCTGAATTCAAGTTCCGCTTGATTTATTTTTACATCCTCACTGCAACTGCCTTCATGAGCCACCAAAAGCACGAAGCTCCAGAGACAGAATAAATAAAATAATTAAAAATACGGAATTCACCAGGGTTTACCATTGGCAAAATCGTTTCTGAGTTTTTGATGTTCAGGAAAGAATTATCTGGATGAACTGTACGAATGGGCTCGCCAGGCTCGACGCTGGACATTTGGAGCAGCTGAAGTGTTCCATTATTTTGCTATCAAATCCACGTCTTTACCAGCTGCAGTTTCAACCATTTGGGCTCTCAGGTATTTTCCCTTCAAACGGAAAATGGCAGAAAACACAGTCTTTTGTTGATTCAACTACATGGTAATTATTAGCGTGTTATTTTGCGGAAAGTGTTCTGATGTCTTATAGCGGCGTTAAATTTTGGCTTGATCCGTAGGCCATGAATAAAATGGCTTGAAATGTCAAAGTGGATTACCTTTTTAAAAAGCTTATTCCAAAATTTTTCCGAATTCTCACCTTTCATTTCAAATTCAGGCCCGAGCATAGTTAGACGGAGCTCGGAAAGTTTTGCATAGCCTAGCCTGTGTTTCTGAAAATTAGGCCTCTAAACCCTACAGCTTGTAAGCCTAATTGTGCGAATGGCCATCTTCCTTATGGAAAAATATGATTTTGTTACAATTTTTTTAGTTTACGCAAAAGAGCGTGATAAATAACAGAGCGATTTCGATTTTATAACGAATCCATTTTGGCTCATGAACTTTTCCAGACTTTTGTGTCGATCCCTGGGATCCAAACACTTATTAGTCACATTTTTGATTTCAGGCTCATATTCTATTACGGGTATATGCTATGTATTTTTGCCATATATAGCATTGTTGCACCAGTTGCGGTTAGTGTTGAACTTCGCCTCGTTCAAGATTATTTTGAAAGACTT